TTCCAAAGGAGCCCTCAGTGTTTGTTGCACTAGTTAATCAGCATGTGGGCACATGTCCTGCTGTAGTATGTATGTAGTATATGTAGGGAGTACGCAGGTATTTATACTGCTCCTGCCACTCATCATGTGAACGCCACACAAGTCAAAAGCCACTCGGTGTACAGCACTGCAGCTACTCATCCTTTCTGTAGAATTATTGTACTGCTATGTACACCACCATTTGGCCTATCGGTCGTACTTTTTCAGTAAAGAAATAGTATTTTTCTCTCACAACAAATCAATAAACAATACTTTTCAGCCTATCTTTTTAGCAATGTGAACATTCTTAGAACGCACAAGCTCGGAAAACCTAATAAATATCATTCGTCGGTACAGTACAAGTTTACAAATGTCAGTAGTGAAAGGCGTTGAAGTAGTGTACTCAGAAGCTACGGACACATGGGGCCCAGGCGTCAGGCGAACACCGAGCACCGGACCGTCCCGTCTGTCAGCGCATGCCGTCCGCAGTCAGTGCGCGCAGCACGCAGCAGTGGTTCTCTCGTACGTTTTCGTTGTCTCCGTTGCTGCGTTCTGTAGCCTGTGCTACTCTGTACCCGAAGCAGTAGCACACATCATTACGGTGGAGTGTAGGGATTATTAGTAGCAGTGAAATAGCAGTACGTACTCCGTATATACCATATTTACTGTATATGTTAGTCTCCGAAAAGAAGCGATTCCTCGCTGTAAAAGCAAAAAAAAAAAACTATACTAGTACGGAGTACTCTGTACAGTCTACTTTAACTCCTCTACACTCTACAGTGCATTTGCTGAGCTCTGAGCCTCTGACGACCTTCACGCTGATCCTGGCAATCTCTTTTCAGAGCTCCTTCTATCTTATGAAAGCTGCAGAGCCAACTGTGACATCCTGTGGCCTTAAATTCATAACGTAAAGTTTTTGGGTGTCACATCTGATGTTATATGGGGGTGTTGTATGGAGTGTTCGGATACTAATAAAAAGATAAATTACAGAATCCGAGCTTGTGTCCATAAACTGCGAGATGAATTTATCAAGCCTGATTAATCCGTCATTAGCACATGTGTACTGTAGCATCACATTGCCAAATCATAGACTGATTAGGTTTAACAGATTCGTCTCGCAAAGTAGTCGCAATCTGTGCAATTAGTTATTTTTTTAAGTCTATTTTTAATACTCTATGCATGTGTCAAAACTGTGCAATTAATTTTTTTTATCTATATTTAATGCTCCATGTACGTATCGCAAGATTCGATGTGATGGATACTGTAGCACTTTTTAGGAATTTGGGGTTGGAACTAAACACGCGCTAAGGTATAAACTTTTGGGGAGTAACTAAAGAAGGCCTGTGTCAAACAAGATACGCAAGGATGCGACGTATACTAGTGTGGTATGTATGTACGGCACGAGTAAAAGGGGCGTGCACTGTGCAGGCACAGCACAGGACAGGAGTAGCCGAGTTGGCCACACCATGAAGCGAGGGGATGACCGCCTGACCGGTGACCGGTGAATTGAAGCCGGTGGGTGGCGCTCACAACGACGCGCGGGCTCACTCAATGCGCCCGTTGTGCTAGTACTTCTACGTACAATGGAAGCTCCGGCTCCAGCTCCCGGGCGTACGCCGTGCGGTCGTGGTGCACGACGCCGGCATCTGCCGGCCCGGCGGCAGGGCGCGCGCGAGTCCCTCTCCCTCCCGTCCCGCGAGGGCTCAGTCTGGGCTGCCCTGCACTTGGAACAGTGGAGTCCAATGGTTACGAGGAGGAGCGAGGGACTGGAAAGGGAGAGTGGTGGTTCTACCGCGTCGTGCATGCGAACAGCTCGTGTGGGCGAGTGGCGCAATCGGCGTGCTTGCTATGGATGGATGGCCGGATGGGCCTGGCCGTTCGGAAACTCCAGCATTTGCGCTGGGAATCCACCCAAACAACCCAACTTTGCACCAGCACACTCGGCCCAGGTACAAACAGTAGATTGTGGGGTAATGGGCCTTGTGGAACTACTGCCTACTATGCCTACATGCTGCGGCTTGCTGCATCATCAACGGGCCTGCTGCTTACACGCGACTGGTGAGCCCACGTAGAACGCTGTGGTTCTGCTAAAAAAAAAAACGTAGAACGCTGTGGTTTTGTGAGTAGTTTTCCGTGAAGGTGATGTAGAGGTGATAGCCAGACATAAATAATTGGAGTTTTATGCAATTCACTCTGAAGCACAGCTCTATTTTGCAATAAAAAAAATTCCCATCGAACGCCCGGCGTGGCGACGTGTTACGTGACGTGGCACGCAAACGGTCCGCGATGCGTGGACGATGAGGATGGCGATCGAGCGCGCGAGAGCGGAGCTGCTGGAGGTCTGGAGGGAGCGCGGGACGCCCGGCCGCGCGCGTTCGTCGACGTGACGTTTCTGCGGTGGCACGCCCGGGCGCACGGCGTGTACGGGCCGCGCGCAGCGCAGCAGGAGGTGGTGTTCGTGCACACCACCGGATGCCGTGCACGGCTGGCTAGTTTGGGTCCGGCCGGCGTTTGGGAAAGGTGCCCGACCAACAAAACCACCAGCAGCATCTGGAATTCTGGATCCAGGCTGCTTCCAATCTGGCAGGACACGATATACGAGTACTGGATACATACGCTCTCAGCGATGGCGCCTCTCGCTGTCGATCGCCATCTGTGCCGGTGCGCCAGGACCAGCTCGCCGATCGTGTGCCAACTCAGTAGCCAATTGTTGAACATCTATTATAGCTATATCCCCGAGATATCTCCACACCTTGATTGGGATACCATGAGAGTCTATCACTTTGCCCCTTTCATCCTTTTCAAGGCTTCTCTGAGCCCCGATTCTTGAATCCTCCGCATAAAGCGTCTGTTAGTGTCATCAAACGAGTCGTCCAACTGAATGGTGGTGTTCTCGTTCTCATCATTGAACAATTTATCAAAATACTATTACCATCTATGTCTGATCTCATCCTATTTTTTAGTATATATTTAATCAAAATTGTTTCTCAGAAAGCGAAAACGATGAATATTTAGCGACAGAGGGAATATACTGCAACTACATGCAGGGCTCTGCAATACATCACTGCATGCTACTGTACTCTCGTGCTACTGGAAAACAGATCGGAAACCAACAGGCTGAACGGCTGCTTAAATTGGGACACTGTTGTGTTGGATTGCCGGCAGGCATTGCAGTGGGGATTGATGAAACATTGCTTTCGGCGAATAGCAACAGGGCCGTTCAGTAGTACGTACTGGCTATATATATTTATTTATCATCATCATCCATCGGTTATAAGTTAACCGCTCACTACTCCGATTAATAATCACGACTGCCATTCACTTCTTTACACTGCCTCCGTTTCTATATACTCTAACTCTCTATCCGTTACAAAAAAAAACTTTATAGGTCTAGTCAAAGTTAAAGTATAGTAAATTTGACTATGTTTATAGAGAAAAACATCAATATTTATGACACTCAATCAATATACTATGAAACTATACTACATGACAAATTCAGTGGTACTAATCTGGTATGTTTGTCTCCAGACTCGAGTAGCGTTATATAGTTGGGCACTAGTTGAATATTTTAAAATAAGCTACGAGCTAAACTATAAGTTGCGCCTTTTGAATCAGTTATTCAGACAGAGTTTTTAGTAGCTAGCAACTTATTTTATAGTCAATGTAAACAGCCTTATTCGGATTAGTTTAGCACTGTAGCTGTCTCTGCCCATAGTTTAGACTTAACAGTACTCCTAGTCTCTTACTGTGTGCTATCAAAAGTCTTTTAACAACTCTGTCACTTGTTGATTAACACGCTCAATGTCACTGGTACAGTGGTACTGCCGTACTGCGTAGCAACTGGCCAGCTCGGTGTGCACTCGGAGGAGGGGACGGGCTGGCTGATGCCGATGTTCCTGTTTGGTTGGCTGGTTCGTATCGTTGCTGGTTTGTGAAGAAGTACTGTTGATTGGTTTGGGTGAGCGAAAAATACTGTTTCAGCTGGAAATTTACGATCGTTTATGACAAGCCACAGCCAAACGAACGTGCTGAGGATTGTGTCGTGCAGGGCAGAGCAGCTGAACGGAACTGAAGTTGGTGTGCGCGGCAGCACAGCGCATGCGGCATCAACCGCAGGGCGAAGTGATGGGCGATCGCCATCCACAGCTGCGGTGCGGCGGTGCCTTTTCGCAACTGCCACATGACAAGCTCGACGCGACCACCAACCCTACAAGAGCCGAGCACCGCCTGTGAGCCTGTCCCTCTCCTACCCCCTGCCGTCCGTGCACCACTAGGACTTACCGGGTTACCATTCCTGATTCTTCCCTCCCTCTCTTCTCTCTTGTCGCCATCGCTATCCGTCCCGCCGTGCTCCGTCCCTCTCACTGACCCTGCACCTCAAGAAAGGGTTACGCTGGGCGAAAAGAAACCGAGAGGCGAGAGAGAGATCAACTGGCGGCTCAAGAAACCAGAGGGAGGAGTGCACACAACTACATTGGGCGAAGGCGCCCAGGAGCCGAGAGCGCAGCCGTGCAGCTGTATCTGCGTTCTTTGTTTCTTTTTTTTCCCCTTTGGATTCCCTGACTCGCATGGTATCTGGTCAGAAAGGCACAGACTTTAGTGTGCCTCTTCTTGTTGTAAGACTACCCACAGTGTGGTGAAATACCGATGCCGCCCTTTCATCTGCTCCTGGAGTAAATTCAAGAAAACTTTGCGAGCCGAGGACCGGTGCTTGCTTTGAAAAGAAGAGAGAGAGTGATATAAAGATCTGACAGAGACGGAGAATAAACTATTGTTTGTTTAGTTATTTGAGGCACCGGTACACTGTGGCATAAATGAAAGTTGAAGCATCGGCTATGATTTGACATTTGAAGCCACGGTACACTGTGGCTAGTCTAACGCCCCTGTCTCTCTGGTCTCTGCTCCTGCGGAAGAGGGGTGCGAGCGCCGAGGGAGGCGGGAAGAGAGAGAGAGAGGGACAAAGACGGAGGCGGGGAGGAGTAATGAAGTCAATGCCTCCGCCATTGCCGCTCCTCTGCTCCTCCGCCTTCGTCGTCTTGCTGCTCCTGCTGTGTCGCCCGTTGGTGGCCAATGGGAGGGCCACACCGCCATCTCCGGGGTGGCCATCGGCAGCTCAGCCCGCGCTGCAGCCTGCACCCACCGCCAGCGGCGGCGTGGCCTCCGCGGACGGCGCCGCCGCCGTGCTTCCTGCGGCCGCGGGGCCTCCACCCTTAGGTAGGCTGGAATGCTGGATCAAAACCTTGCTCTTCTTTTTTGCGGGGTTTCAGCGTGTTTTGCAGTGAAATGATGTTCCTGGTTTCTTCATCCTCGTTTGGCCTCGTGTCGCAAAATTACGCCTTTTGGCCGGGAATTTGCTCATGTTTTTTTGGGAAAACATTTAGTGCTGATTTGATGGGCAAACCATGTCATTGGAGTGGTGGGGAAAAGTTAATTGGGGTCCTAGTCTTTTACAGTTTGAGCAGAAAACGTGGATTATTTTTCTTTCGGATTTTGCATTCAGGAAATTGTGCGGGAATCTCGTGGAGTTTCATTTGCTTATTAAACTTTATTATTCCTATTGCAATGTGGGAAATATTTGGATTTTAGGCTCCTATAACCTCTCTAATAGGAAACAGTTGAACGCCGTCAATACTGTTGCATTTAATTTAACTCAAATTGCAGAAAATATCTGCTCTTTCTTTTGTAATTTAAGGAACCGTGTCATCTTTGAAACTCCAATTTACCCAGTTCAGTTTGGTTTCGAAGCATTCATCTTTCTGCGACGCCCCAATGAATCTTGCAGTGTTCATCATTTTGCTTTTGTGGTGTTGTTGCAGCGGTGATTGTGGTGGAGAGGCACCACCACCTCCGCACGGAGCTCATCGCTGCCATTGTTATCTCATCCGTCGCCAGCGTTGTGATCACTGTTGCCGCACTGTATGCCTTCTTGCTGTGGCGACGATCACGGCGAGCCCTGCATTCCAAGGACACCCAAAGCATAGGTCTTGGCCTGACTGGTTCTTGTTTCCCTTGGTTGACTTGCTGTGCTGCCCATGTGGGTCATGTGAGTTACTTACCTAGCTCCTGAGAATCTGACCTACTCACTTGCGTTGTTCAGATACCGCAAGGATTGCTTTTGTGCCAATGTTGAACAGCTTCAACTCGTACAAGGCTACCAAGAAGAGTGCTGCGGCCATGATGGATTACACATCTTTGGAGGCAGCAACTGAAAAATTCAGTGAGAGCAATGTCCTTGGAGTTTGTGGGTTTGGGTCTGTGTACAAAGCCAATTTTGATGGGAGGCTTGCTGCTGCTGTGAAGAGATTGGATGGTGGAGCTGGGGCACATGATTGCGAGAAAGAATTCGAGGTGATAATCAACTATGCCATTTTTTATCGACAAAATTGTCCATTTAAATGGTTGTGTTCGGATTGTTGTTATCAATTAAACAGTGCTCTAAAAAAGAATTTATTATTCATTGAATCGGCAGAATGAGCTAGATTTGCTTGGGAAGATTCGGCATCCCAACATTGTGTCCCTTGTGGGCTTCTGTATTCATGAGGAGAACCGTTTCATTGTTTATGAGCTGATGGAGAATGGGTCGTTGGATTCACAACTTCATGGTATCACTTGTTTTTCAGAAATTCTACTGTGTTTTGTTGTTTCCTTATGTTTATTGTTGAGTGTGACCATTAATAAAATTTAGAGATTATAGTCCCTGTGGTTTTGTATCCAGGGCCATCACATGGTTCAGCTCTGAGCTGGCATATTCGGATGAAGATTGCTCTTGACACAGCAAGGTTCCCTTTTTGCACCTTCTCTTAGTATGGTTAACTATGTTGTCTGCTTATGACTGTATTTTATAATGTGCATCTGTATCTGAACCAACCAGGGGATTAGAGTACCTGCATGAGCACTGCAACCCACCAGTTATCCATAGGGATCTGAAGTCATCTAACATACTTTTAGATTCAGACTTCAGTGCTAAGGTATGCCTTTGTATTTTCATTCTAGTCAATTTATTATTGCTATTGACCAATGACCACAACTCATATGAGTATATGACCAAAATACGAAATGAAGAGTCAGTGTATTGTTTCTTTCTTGTTCGGCAGATTTCAGATTTTGGCCTCGCGGTGATTAGTGGGAATCACAGCAAAGGGAATTTAAAGCTTTCTGGGACTATGGGCTATGTGGCCCCTGAGTACTTATTGGATGGTATATGTGCCCTTTTTCTCCCCCTCGTTGTGTCTCACTTATAATCCTGTCTGTTGAAGTCTAGAGTACTCTTTATTCATCACGACTACGGTACTCGACTCTAATCATGTGCAACTGCATTGAATTCAGGGAAGTTGACTGAGAAGAGTGATGTATATGCATTTGGGGTAGTACTTCTAGAACTTCTACTGGGAAGGAAACCTGTTGAGAAGATGGCACAATCTCAGTGCCAATCAATTGTTACATGGGTACACAATGTTCTGACATTTGGCGTCTCAAATCATTAGAATCTAGTGTCCAATTAAAAAGTAGAATATTGTCCAATTAAACATTTGGCGTCTCAACATGCCAGAATCGAGGCAGATAAATTGACCTATTGACTTCTGACATATTGCCATACTTGGATTCGAATGCAGGCCATGCCTCAGCTAACTGATAGATCCAAACTCCCTAACATAATTGACCCCATGATCAAGAACACAATGGATCTGAAACACTTGTACCAAGTAAGCATTTTCAAGTCATTACAGTTTTGTCTGTTTCATGTGTATTTAGCTTTTTAACTGATCAGACGGGTACATTTCTTCTAGGTTGCTGCAGTGGCTGTGCTCTGTGTGCAACCAGAGCCAAGTTACAGGCCGCTGATCACCGATGTGCTCCATTCGCTTGTACCCCTAGTGCCCATGGAGCTTGGAGGAACGCTGAGGATCAGCCCGGAATCACCCTATGCTACTCAGATGCAATCTCCCATTTGAGATAAATGAAACATGGACATGATTGAAATTGCTGATTCAGTAAGGCTTGTCCAAGTGGTTCAAAAACCAAAACCCCCAGATAACTTATGAAGTTGAGCACGGGTTATTGTTCCTTGCTTGCATTGCCTTCCATGGTGTTTGTCAATCTGAGGTGCCGCTACATGTCTGAGCTGTGTTGGCACAGTTTTTGGGTTTGTGGAGGAGGGCTACGTATTTCCGTGGCTGTACAGAGAAGTAAAATGAAGTCCTTCCCCCCTTTTTATGGATCTGTTAACTTCTGTATAGATTAAAGATTTTCCACACTGTAACTCATCAGTACTACCATCAAGAAAATATTATTTGCCCTAGATCATGGCATGTATGGATGGTATCTATCTACAACTACTTCGTATGCTTGTGTAACTGTTTGAACTCAAGACCAAGGCTGATTAAGAGTTTTTTCAAGAATGAATCATGGCATTACTTGCTTCAACAACAACAATAGCAAAGCCTTCTCTTCTAGTCCTGTTTGTCCTATCTACAAAAGCTGACGTTCAGATGACAGAAGCTAGTACATGTACTGCATTCTAATAAGTCATTTTTCCTTCTGATGAAACGTCAAGATCCAGTCTGTTCCTTATTCAAAACTGCAAAGTTATCAATTTCTCAGCCTAGTGAGGTGAGGAGGAGTGACTTCGAGAGAGAGCACCTTCTAGCGTCGGCGACCACCCGGCCCGGCCACCGCCGGCTATCTCGACCGAGCGACTTCCCTGGTCCGCCTCGTGGTTCTGCTGGAGCTGTGGTGGTTCTTGTGATACTCGCACGCAGATTGTTCGATGTTTTGCCGGAAAGGATTTTACTTGGCGAAATGGTGAGCTCTGTCCATGGCACCACTTAGCGCCTGATGACCATGGCTGCCTCTGTTTCCAACACTCGGCCTGGCCGGGTGGTGGATGCTGAAATTCTTCGTCGGTATGGCTCCTCTGTTACCAGTGATCCATCTTCAGTTGCTAAGGATTTCTTCCTTGTTCTCTCTGTGGGACGTTGTAAATTCCGTCTCTCAGAGCATTTGATTGAGAATCTTCTTCAAGCTGTCATTGGTGGTTCCCCTCGAGCTTTTAGAGTTGTGCAGCTGGATGATAGAGTCTTCATGTTCTCAGTGGCCTCTTATCATAATCTGCGCTCTTTTGAATGTCAAGATTTCAAGGTCTTCTTCCATCTCTGGCACAATGGAGGCCCCAATTTTAAAGTTGAATATCGTAATTGGTGCATTGAGCAAGCTGCTGAATGGATGGAAGTCTCTAAGCGCAAGTCGGTACGTCTTACTGGTGCCAATTATGTTCCAATCGCCATTCCTGCTGTTCACTTTCCTGCTTCGAGCTCCAAATCCATGGAGTTTTCAAAATTTCAATTACCTTTTAATTCTCGTTGTAAATCTATTTTTATGAGACTTGATTACCCTATCAATGCCCCTAATTATAAGAACATTCCTATATCACCCGTGGGTATTTTGGGCCCAATTCCTGACCCTAGAAGGATTACTAATGGTCATGGGCCTTTAGTGCAGCTTTGCACCAACTGTTTATTGCTGGCCCATGCTAGGCTTGCCTGTAATAATCCACCGCGATGCCGGAATTGTCTCGGCTTTGGTCACATTTATGGAAAATGCAGTCTCCCGCCCTGATCCTCGCGCCTCCTAAATGATCAGAGCGCCCCTTCGAATTCTCGTAATAGTCACTCTACTCACTCGCTGAATGGTGGACCTCAGCAACCTTATATGTCGAGATTTTATCTCTCTGTTTCTGAATACATTAAAGAGTTGGTCGGAATTCAGTCCATTCCCTCCCCTGTCATCGTCCCCTGGCGTTGGCCTTGGAGACTCCGGGCTCCAGAGTTTGACAACGACGACTCTTCCCATCCTTCCCTGCTTGAGGTGTCATCGCCGTCCTCGTCACCACCGTCGATAATCTTCTCGGCGTTCGGTGAGTACGCGTCTCGTGTTCTTGGCATTCACCATTTGTCTGCAACTGTTCATGTTGCTTGGTCTCTGAAAACCCCAATTGATGCTACAGTGAACCCCGATCCTTCCACTATGGTGTATAGGTTTGTTGACCCAACTCCTTTCATGCCTACTTGGGGTCAGCGTGTGATGGTTCCTGGTCAGCCTACCATGCATCGAGTTATTACTGTTCGATTGCAGCGAGTCAATAACGATGTCGCCATCACCTTCATCCATCCTTTGCCACACAGTCAGATGAATTTCAATGACATCCATGGCACTCTCGTGGAATTTTTGAATGTGCAGATGGGCATGCCGTATCAGTCAATCTAGCCCTACCCATTTGGTCAGGCTTATGTCACCCTTAACCGTGTGTCCCATAGGGACTCTTTGATTAACAATGGCCCTCGTCAGTTTGGAAACACTCACATTTCCTTCATTGCCCATGACCGAGCTTGGAATAACAGAACTACAGTGTATACACATAAGGTGTGGTTGATGATGATTGGCCTCAATGTTGACATCTGGTCGTATTCTCTGGTTGATAAAGCAGTTTCTCAGTTTGGCAAGCTTATGGTTTGGGAGAAGGACCATGATCATATGGCTAGAGCTTTGGTCAAAGTTAGAGTCACTGGTTTGGATGCCATTCCATAGTTTTTCAATTTTTCTGAAGGTGAAACCCCAGAGTCTAATAGTTGGACAGTCCAGTGCGAGATAATTTTAGCAACAATGTTGGGGGCCTAACCTCAAGATGAGGATTTTCCACCAGAAGATCCAGATGATATTGCCCCTAATCATTTTGAGTTCTTTGGTTATGGGCAACCAGGTAATGGGCCAGCTCCTCCTCCAGATGGCCCCAATGCACATAATCAGTTTGCAGAAGACCAAGGTAACCAAGTTTGGGCCCCTTGGCCTAACCAGAATGTAGCCCAGCTTGGACAGGGCCATCCTGCTGATCAACTTGGAATTCATCCCAATATGGATGAAGTACCTCTTTTAATCCCAATTCAGCCTGTTGAAGCTCAGCAAGGTGGGTAGGAAAATCATGTTGAGGAAGATGCTTTGACTATGCCTGTAGAAGAAGTCATTCAAAATGTTCAGCATCAGGTTGCAGTCCCTCCAGTGGCTGAAGAACAGGTCTTAGCAATGGATGATGATACAGACACTGATTCAGAAGACTTTCCACAAGCTCAGTTACTGTACCTCTAGTGGAAATTGTGCCCTTTCCAGATTTTAATAATCTATAGCCTCTTATGCCTAAAGAGATCCAAGTGGGTGATCTGATGGGCTGGATCAATGGCCAAGGAAATGTTTTTGAGCATAATGAAGACATTCAGCTGGGGATGGTGCAGCTTCAGGACTCCTGGCCTCAACATCCAAGTCTTAGACCTTGCCCTGAAGCAATCAGGCAATGGGTAAGACATTTCTCAGATAATTCTGATAACTTTTCCTCTGTCCTTATCCCTGAACTCTGGATTAATTTCTTCATATTTCTCTTATTACAGTCACCTACTTTTGATTGGGCTAAATCCTTTCTGCAATCCAATGCCTGGAATCACTTCAGCTCTGATCTGTCCTCTTTAAATGGTAATGCTACTCTATTTTCTATTCCTCATTCTTGTCCCCAAGTTGATCTTCAGATTTGGTCTAACTTTGAGCATACTTCTTCTGCTGTTCTAGAGTCACTAGGAGAAGATCTTGGTCTTGACACTGAAGGCAGCAACTCCAAGGCTCCTAATAATGTCACCACTCCCAAGAATACTCCTAAGAGAAAGGGTAAAGCTCCACTCTCTAAAGCTGATGTCAGAAGAAGCATGAGACTGAAGCTAATCAACAAGGGGTTCAAGTCTTCACCCACCTCTTGCAAGGATAAGAACTGCCTAGGTTGTGTAGCTACGCCACCCACGATTTCTCCCAAGGTCATCAGAAATTTGGGGGCATCCTTTTGTGGCATCAATCCTATAGACCTCACTCCAGTAAAGCTCAATGCCATTCCTGTTGCAAAGAAGAAGTCTGTGAAAAGCAAGAAAGCTGGCTCATCAGCAAGCCAAAAATTCTTTAGACCAAGCTAGCCCTTCCTCTAGCCATAGCTCCAAGAATGGAGCTGCAGATCCTAGTACCTAGCTGCATAGGATCTTCTATCTTTTGCCTTTTGTTTAATCAATGTCAATTAGATCTTGGTCTGTCCTTAGTTGGAATGTTAGAGGAATAAACTCTGATAAGAAATGGGATGCTATCAGAGATCGTGTAATGAACTGCAATTGTGATATAGTTTGTCTTCAGGAGACAAAAAAACAAACTTTTGATCTTATGTTTATTTAAAAGATTTGTCCTCCTTTTGACTCTGAATTCATTCCATCTGTTGGAGCTTCTGGTGGCTCAATCATCATCTAGAAGTCTAATTTGTTTTTTGGCTCTAAAGTATTTGAGAATGAGTATTGTGTGTCTGTGGAATTTATCTCTAATCATAGTAATGAACCTTGGATTCTCACAAACATATATGCACCCTGTACTGCTCCTGGAAAGTGGGCTTTTCTGCAATGGTTTAAGAACATCAACATGTCTGATACTGTTAACTGGTTGATAGTGGGTGACTTTAATCTTTATAGAAACCCAAATGATAGAAATAAACCTGAAGGTGACCATCTTGAAAATGTACCTCTTCAATGAAGCTATTAGTGCTCTTGGTCTAGTTGAACTCCCCCTGAAGGGTAGAAGATTTACTTGGTCAAATAAACAGTTATCCCCACTTTTGGAAAGGCTAGATTGGTTCTTTACTTCTGCTCTCTGGACTGTCACCTATCCTAACACCCTTGCATCTTCTGTGGTCAATGAAATCTCTGATCATACCCCATGTGTCATAACAATTTTGACTGCTATTCCGAAGACAAGTATTTTCAGGTTTGAAAACTATTGGATGGAACATGAAGAGTTTATGCCTTTGGTTCAACATACTTGGGCTTCTGACATGGCCAAAGTCATCACTGCTAAATTCAAGAATTTGCGAAGGGTTCTGAAAGAT